TTTCACCTGAAGTTGATCGAACCAAATGGTTACATCAGGAGTAGCACAATTTATTGCAGTAATGCCTCCTTCATATTTATAAATTGGGCAGTAGGTAATGATATGTTCGATGGTCTGTTGTGGGGAACCACACTTGCACACCAGGGAGTCCTTGATTTTCCATCTGTGCATTAGATATCCGCATCTACCATGGTTGGTTTGAATTCGGTTCAGAGTTGACCAAGATGACTGGGGAAGGTCAAACCCAGGAACCTTCTGCGTGGGATCTGGCACAAGGTGCTTATTTTTTAACTCTTGTTTAGCCCAATCTGCTTTCCAAGCCTCCTGATCATAGCCTGATTGTATGAGGCTAAACGAATGTTCCCAGAAAGGCTTGTGGGATTTAAGATGTTGGGGCGGGGGACGTTGTCATGGTCATGGTCAATAGGAAGACATCTGTTTTCCTGGAATCACTGAGCTTCGCGGAATGTTGCAGCAGTTAGGTGTATCGGCGGGGGAGTGATGCTAGACAGGACAGGTAGCCAGGGTGTTGGAGTCAACTTAAGGGTTCCCATGATGCACCACTTCACTGTATTCAGCTGGGTCTCCACAAGTCATGTGTGGCTGCACAATATTCAGCTACTGAATATACAAGTGCTATTGCAGATGTTCGCAACACTGATGCACCCCAGGTTATACCTGCTAGTTTCAGGATTATGTTGGCTCTCGTTTTTATCTTTGCAGCTACCTTCTCAAGATGGTCATGGAAGGTGAGGGTGGTGTCGAGTTTCACTCTGAGATATGTTGGAGACTAATCGTGTTGCACATTTTTACCACAGAAAGCTACTTTGTGTGTTTTTGGCACTCTTATCAAGATGAAATGCGCTTACTATTGTTTTTCCAGTGTTTACTTTGAACCTCCATTTCCAGAAATATTGTTCCATATTTTGGATGTCCTCAGTTAATGCTTTCTCAATGTCATGGAGGTTTGCTTGTATTGTCATGAAAAGATCATCTGCATATCCACATTTTCATGATTTAACTGGAGACGTGTCACTTATGTAAATATTAAAAGGGTTGGCAGTACAGAGCCTTGTGGTAGCCCGTTGTTTATGAAATGGGGTGAGCTGTTCTTATTACCCAGGTACCCCTGTAGGCGTCTGTTACTCAGCATGGTCAACAGCAGGTGAAGTGTGTTTGCTAGCAAGGTATAATTTTAGCAAGTTTCAGCATCAGGCCCTTAATCCATACAGTATCGTACGCAGATGAGAGGTCAACAAATATTGTGCCAGTCTTTAAGGTTTTTTTTGATAGCCAGCCTCAATGTGAATTGTGAGTGCCAGAACTTGGTCACAACAACTAAGTTTTGGCCGGAAGAGCCTGCCTGTTCCACACAGGGATAATTGGCTCAGAAAAAGGGCGTATTCTTTTGAGGAGGCTATGTTGAAGAAGTTCATAGGTCGTACATAGTAGAGAAATTGGCCTATCTCAGTGGCTTTCAAACTTTTTTACTGGTGACCCCTTTCACATAGCAAGCCTCTGAGTGCGACCCCCCTTATAAATTAAAAACTCTTTTTTTTCTATATTTAACACCATTATAAATGCTGGAGGCAAAGCGGGATTTGGGGTGGAGGCTGATAGCTTGCGACCCCCCATGCAATAACCTTGTGACCCCCTGAGGGGTCCTGACCCTCAGTTTGAGAACCCCTGGCCTATCTCTTCCTGCTTTATCAGGGGGCTTTCCAGGCTTTGGAGTGGCAGTTACCATTGACTCACGCCATATTTCAGGGATCCGTACTGTTCTTAAGGTAACAGAGTACAATGTAGCTAGCCATTGGAGTCCTTTGGGGCCGAGATGGTGGAGGAATTCTGGCGGAATACCGTCAGGGCCTTCAACCTTCCCTTTTTTCATCATGGCAAGTCCTTCTTTTACTTCCTCTATGCTGACAGTGACAGGTTCTCCTCAGGGGATTGATGCAAGTGTTCGGTAGAGTTGCTGATACACTTCTCTTCTTGTGTGTTTATCAAGTGGTCCTTTTGTGTTCTCTACCAGTTTGGAGGCTATTGAGTTTGGCCGTTTTTTGTGTGGCCGGTACTCTGTGGCATTGGCAGCCCCAAGACGTCGTAGTAGTGTCCAGGCTTGACAACTTGAATGTGTAAAATCAAGGTTTTGCACCCAATCAAGCCAGCGCTGGCATCTTGCTGTGTCAAAGGAATGTAGCAGGGCTTTTGCGGTATGAGAGCTCCTGGTCTGATTGTATTGCCGGAGCAACTGCTGTGTCTCTCTCATCCAGCAGGGAGTGTGCTTTTTTCGGAAGCCTCAGGGAATGTTCTTCTTTCCTGCTACTTTCAGGAGCCATGCAAACCGTTGATAGCATTTCAGGGCTTTGGAGATGTGTTCCGGCTCTGCTCCAGCTCCAGGCAAAAACCTGCAGCTCCACTGCTCCGGAGCTGCTCCACGCTCCAGCTCTGGGCTCTGCTCCAAAGCCCTGGTGGTGACTATTAAAATCACCTGCATAGATGCATGGAATAGGAGTGCTGGGTAGTGCTGGTTTTGGCCATTTTGTGCCGGGGCTTTATAGACGTTGGTAATGTGGAGCTCCCCTACTTTGATAGTTGTGGCAAATGTGATCTCCTCTTCAGTTGATGGAATAATATTGAAATCTGTGATGGTGTCCTTGATGTATATTTCCAAGCCATATTTAGGATGGTAATGGCTAGTCATTAGATTGTGTCCATAGATATGGTAGTGCCTAGCCTGTTGGTTGTTGCCAACATGGGTCTCTTGCAACATGAAGATATCAATGGTGTAAACCTTCAGCAAGTTTCCAAGGTACTTGAATTTTGCCCATGAGAGTCCTTCAGCATTAAGTTGCAGGATTCTTATTCCAGGGCCTATTTGGCACGTTGTATGGCCCTGAGGAGGAACTTCAGGATTTGTTGAGTTGCTGCTCTAATGACCAGGAGATCGCTGAGCGATGTTTGGTTGCTGAGTTGATGGCATTCGTTGTGAATTCTCACTTAACAGAGTGGGCCCCGTGAAGGCTGCCATCTTCCACTCCGTCATTTTACTACGAGAATATTAATTTTCAACAATATGCTAAAGAACATTTTACTAGCTTTCTATGAGGTATTATAATCAACTAGACTATGCTTATCAGATTAACAAAGTACATTTTGTAATGCAGCATCTTTGCTTTTCTGTTGTTTATTGATTTGATAATTGGCAAAATTCTCTTGATCTGCAAATAAACCTTCTAGGTCATGACCTTGCAGACACTTACGAATACATGCAACTTTATGCAAGTTAATACTCCCATTGAAATCATTGGGATTGTTTGTAGAATGGGACCCTAGTTATAAGTGCTGATTAATAAGGTACTATTATAGCTATAAATAGACTTGGCAGAATTCAGTTTTTATTTTTATAATTTTGATGGATATTATCGATGTTTATTTTTATTTTTATCAATTTAAATTTTCACAGTTGTAGGAAATTATGGGAGGGTCAGACAATTAATGAGTAGACATTGACTTTCAAAAAGTTAAATCTTTATAATGCTTAAAACACAAATTGTCAACATCACATGTCAAAATATACAAAGCAAATATCCTTACAGAAAACTAGTACGTTCTTAAGCAGCATTTTTCTCACTTTGATTATTGTTGACAGAAATATTTTTTCATCCATTTGTGCATGTCCAGGAAAATTGACGCTTATTGACGCTTACCAATAAAAATCTAATCCTTTCAATCCTCTTTATAAAGGGGCACCACTCTGTCTACATCATGCTTGACTATTGTTTAATAATATTTTACTACTTATTCCTAAATTGCTGCCTTTTAGTTTAATAACCTGGTAATAAGTGTTTCCTGAGAATGAAAATATTTATATAAAGACCAATTGAGTTGTTTGCTTTTTTTCTGCAGAGGTCTCTTAACTAACACACGGAAGACAGTTTTTCCTGTTCAGTTGACCATATGAAATCAAGATTTTAAAGTTGTTTGGTTGCCTGACAAAAAATGTAGTTTTTCCAATTTTGGGGGATATCATCTGATTCTCAAGTAAATCAAAATTAAATGTTTTTGCTACGGTGACAGTTTAAATAGCATTCCTCTGTACAGTTGTACCATAGTTTTTTTTAGGTTTCTCTTATTTTTAGCATTCTGTCACTGTAGGTTTAGTTGTGCCTTTACTTTAATATCTGTTAAAATGTCACTCCACCAACTGTAAGAGAACTGAGACTAATTTGCTGTCTAAATATTATATGTCAAACACAAGTAAAAATTTAAAACTCTTTGGGGCAGGAATGGTTTGGGGTTTTTGTTTGTTTTTTGCTGTGTTTACAGTATCCCTAGCACAATGGGGCTTCTGGCTACTGCTGCAATACAAATTAATAATAAATACTCTAAAGGCCCGATCTTACAGTGCTTGGCTTGTGAAAAGTCTCAAGTGTTTATGTAAGTGAGGCATTTTGGGATCATCCCCAAAGAAGGATATGTCTCCAGTAATGTGAATAGTGTCTGTCTAGTTTTGAAATCTAAATGTGATCTGATCAAACACAATAAACACAAATCTTTTACTACTACTTGGTTTTGGGTGCTAATTTTGGCCCTGATACAACAAAGACCTACATACTTGCAAGATCAGGGGCTTTGTGTATATCCATAAATACGTTTTGTTTCTGGTCCTCCTATAAGCCACTAGAGAACCATAGCTGAAAAAGGCTCTATGCTTGTGCCATTCGCTCCAAAAACAAATTAAAAAAAAAAAAATTCTTGTCAAATTTGCCATATATTTTTGGACATCAAGGTCAGGATTGTTTTTCATTACTCTGAGTTCCAGCATAGTGCTTCTTAGCTTTTGCAAATCCTCAAATTACGAGAGATCCTCTCTGTAAAAAATTGAGTTCAATCACAATGGAAATTTTCTATCCGAAAATCTAATGTACACATTGCATAATATGCAACATATTTTTTAAGATAGGGATAATTTATTTATATTTCTTTGATCTAGAATGACAAGCTCAGGGTTGTGGTTGATGCTGTGCATGCTGACAACATGAGTATCTTATTGAAATCTGCACAGTCTTTGACAGGTCTGCATTCATCCACCTCTACTCTTTGAGCTTAATGCTCTGTTATCAGTTTCTCAGTTATCCTTGTGTAGTAGGCACTGACAGTTTTACTTGTCTGGATAGTAGTTCTACTTATCCAAGCTTGTGAGCAGTCAGATTTCTCACAAAATAATCATATATTGTTTTAATAGATTTTGCGAAACAAAGTGTCTTTATTTTTCTAAAGCAATGTAACTTATTACCCAGTTTATTCTCTTTGAAATCTGACTCCGTTAGATCTACCCTACTTAGTCCAAAGTCTATTTTTCAGTGGTGTCTGTCTGGGATGCACGTGTCTTGAAAGTCTTTCAAATTAACTAGATGTTACTCATGCCATAGAGATGAAGGAACTTAATTCTCATCAATATACAAAGGCAGTTTTCTCTAAATTATACCCAACAGTGTGTTGTTACTTTTTTGAACCCCCCCCCCCACCTTCTCCTCCAGAATAAAACATGGCTGAGGATTCTCAGAGAAACTTCCGCTCTGTCTACTATGAAAAAGTGGGATTTCGTGGTGTTGAAGAAAAGAAATCATTGGAAATCCTACTGAAAGATGATCGATTGGGTGAGTTGATCCCACTATTTCCTGTACTTTCTGGGCATGATTTTTGGTTGTGCTGAAAACCCACAACTAACTGAAGTCAAACTTTTTTACTGGTGACCCCTTTCACATAGCATAGTCCTTTTAAAGAGCAATTTGCAGATGTAGATCTGCAACTAAAGAATTGTCCTGTTTCGGTGAATCAATGCCACTATTGAAAATATTTCAAGTTTTTAAAATGTTTTGAAAAATATTTGCTTTCTTTGCAGATATTGAGAAACTTTGCACATTTAGTCAAAGATTTCCTCTCCCATCCATGTATCGTATCCTGGTGTGGAAGGTGCTTTTAGGTATGACATGTGAGACTGTGGTTTTAACTGTAGAAATAAGAATAAGCTGGGTATTTGTCATTTGTTTGGGGGATTGTAAAAACATGGAATACTCTGTTTTGTGACCAGTTGCTAATGATAGACATGGGTCCACTTCTGCGTACTCACAAGTTTCACACAGAGAACATTTAATGTACACATGCAAGTTAACGATTTGACTTTCTGTTTTACGCATGCATTTTGGGAACTGTTGTACGTGCGGTTTTACAAAATTAGGTAATTGAATTTAACTTCTATAAATGTGCTTATAATGTCATGGACATTGATATGAATAATTAGTGTGGGTAAAGTTGGATGTTTAATATAAATAGCTGACATCTAATAGGGTTTTCAGTATTGTCAAAAAAAATTGGACATCTAAGTGAAACTGAATCGCTGATCAAAACTAGATTTTAAAAAGGGATTTGTATTGAACTGATTATTTAATAGAATATGTCTGTGGTTAGAATCCCTATTGTAGTAAGCTTTCCAACAAAGATTAGCTCTAATTTTTCTTCTAATGTTAAATGATATTTGCCATTGGAGAGGAGAAGGAAACCAGGACCATAAATAGGCCAAGTCCTAGATTCTGTGTAGCAAGTGAGTCAGATTACTAATTCCAACAGTATTAATGGTGCTTTGGAACAGCTTTTTCAGTTTATTGGATTTATTAGGTGTGAACTAACGAAGCTGGGGGTGTGCGTAGCGCAGGAATAGTAATAATTCTTAGAACTATGAACGTGCCAAACTTCACCTTTAGGATGCTTTTCAAACATTAGCTAACCTTACAGGAATATTACCAGTTTGAACATTTAAAAAAAATCCTTACTTAAATCCCTATTAATGCATTAGTTAATTAAAACTGAAATAAATTTTGGAATCTATTTTTTAACTATTTGTGTCTGCCTATCTACTTTATTCATTGCTATCATGACAATAAAAATAGAGTAGTAAATGTCAGTCTTCTGTCTGCTCAGTTTCACTTCCTGGTTCTCGTGCACCAACACAATGCTTTAGTGTCTGGGTTGCAAACACCGAAGAGGAAAGTTTAAGTCCTGTCTAAAACTTTTCTTGTTAAACATTTTTTGTTCACTTTATTTCAAAAGTGAATTATTTTAAAAATTCATGAATGTCTATGTTAAGATTTGTAAACACTTTTTTGGTGCAAAACCTAAAAGTTGATTCTGAACCTTGTGATACTGTTTCTTTTACTAAATGATCATACATAATGAAATCCTGGGCAATAACAGAATTAAGCTAGGGATAAACACAGTTCTTGAGACAGGTAACTGAAAGTTGTGGAGATTTAGAATCCTTTAAAATGTTGTGAGGAAGAAATATAGATGGTGTTAAGAAGTAAAAGCAGAAGATCTTTCATCCAAAACTGCACTGTTAACTGCACAAAGGAATTTCTGTGCAAAGTTGTAATTCAGTTTAGAGCCAGTAGCATTTGTTCACTGCCTCAGACACCATGATTTGTGAATCTTACAACCCTATGATACAATGAAATGTTGGGTAGGTCGAGTCCTTCTATGTATTTTATATACTAGCTTATATCTTTGTCTGATTCTGAGTATATAGAAAGTGTAAGAAACATATTTACAAATTTCATTTTAAACTCAGTGTGGAAATTTTAAATATGTGAACTCTTTTCAGTTAAACAACCCAGAATAGGGTAAAGCATTCTATAGACACCTTGGGTCTGCTGAGGCACAAGGGATAGTTGAGTGCAGGGAGAATTGCTTGTAATGTCTTCAAAGATTTTTCTTAGTGTAAACATTCATCAGGAACTGCAATCCAAAACATCTCTGCCTTGAGGATTGGAACAACAGCCTTATCCATTTCTGTGGGGAAGCATTGTCTCTTGTAAAGAAATTTACTAGTTTAGCAAGAGGGTTGCAATCCCATCAATGAACTACTTCTAAAATTGGATTTGAAAGATGATCGGCCCTGATGCCTTCCTAGGTTATAAAGTGTGCCATATATATATCCTGCTTAATTTCCTCAATAAAGTATGGCTCATTGTAGCTAAGTGGAGGGTCTATTGCACTAAAATGATTTATAGACTTCACTGCATTTTTTGTGACTACCTTTTCTCTGTCTGCCTAGGGTCAGTTTTCTAGATTTAACCTGTAAATTTAGAAGCATGTACTTGCTTAGTTATGATGGCTTGTTCAATCCCAGCTGTTAGGATGCAGCCTGATTTGCTCTGGCAGTTTGAAGAAAAGTATCTGTATCTATTTTATTTGGTACTCAAATTCTGTGATTTCCTGGGTTAACACTTGGGATTACTATTCTCCTTCATTTAAAGAGAGGCAAAAGCAGCAGATTAACCTGATTCAAGACTAATTTTGAAGAGTGCCTCCTTCTGATTAGTTCCTACAAAACTACTGATTAGTTTTACACCATTAGTGATACATAGGAGCATTTCTGCTTTGGCCTCATTGGGATCTTACTTTTGTTGAAGTCACTGGCAGTTTTGCTATTAACTTCAGTGGTAGCAAGATAAAGTCCTAAGTGAGGTGAAATCATTAGGATGAAGGAAAGTGCTCAATTAAGAGAGCACTAGAGGAAAGATGTCATATGAGGCTGTTATAGGGTGACCAGATGTCCCGATTTTATAGGGACAGCCCTGATTTTGGGGTCTTTTTCTTATATAGGCTCCTATTACCCCCCACCCCGTCCCAATTTTTCACACTTGCTATCGGGTCACCCTAGTCTGTTATGGATATCATAAATCATGTATCAGGACAGTGGAAAGATAACTTATCCTTCTTGTAATGGTGGTAGAAAGATTGGCGTTTAACATAATCAGCTGTGTTATGTGAGGAAAATTTAGTGTGTTACATGCTTCTTTGGCTGACATGGTTATGGGGCCTCTACCTGAAATTGATTCATCCTGTGTTATTGAAATTACTTCCCACCACTGATTCAGAGGAAGATTGATCTCTCTGGTAAAGTCTGTAAAGAAGGTTCCACTGCGGGTAATGTAAATTAAATAAGAAAGTTGCACAGTACCTTTGTGTTACTTATATGCACACACACAACCCTGATATTCTTAGAGGGACCGTAGAATTTTGGAAAGGGAAGTGTTCTGTTTTTGTATCACTGCTCTTCAATCTAGGCTGCTGATGATTTGTTATGCTGTTGGTAAAGCATTTGTATAGGAAGTGCCCATTTTGTTTTTTTCTATGAGACCATGAATGTCTTAATTAACTAAGGAATAAAATATTTGTTCTGCAGCTACGTTTATCTCCAAAACAAAGGGAAGGCTCAGCACAAATACACAAAAAACGCAATATAGTAAATGCTGCAGATAAATCCAAGCCAATGGCAGTTTTGATTTTTTTTTTAAATGCATTTACTTCATTACATCATTAAACTAATTTCCCCTCATTCCAAACAATGAAACCTCTTCTCAACATACCAGCCTCCAGTGACCTCATGGACAAAAAATGATCAGCCTGATGCTGAGGCCTAAAAGGGGATCAGTAAACCAAGTCCGTGAATAAATCATTCCTGCATTCGGTCAACACATGACCTTCCGTTTTAATAAATATTATTATTTGCTTGTTCTGTGTCGTCTTGTCTTTATAAGATTCCATACTGTAACTTTTAACCAAGCTCACATGAGTAAGAGCTGCATGATTGGGACCTACATCTTTTGCAGGCTGTATATTAGTACATATTGAAGTAAGTGTAGCCCCTTAGAAAGAGGATTCACTGCTTTCCTTCTCTCTCTCTTTTTTTTTTTTTTAGGAATTATTCCTCCTCACCATGAATCTCATGCTCTGGTGATGAAGTACCGAACAGAACAATATAGGGATGTGTATCATGCCCTCCAAGTAATTCGGTTTATCAAGGATTCTACCCCACAGGTTGAAGTTTTCCTTCGCATGCATCAACTGGAGTCGGGAAGGTTGCCTCGAAATCTGGCTTTTCCTCTGGTCAGTTATTGTTTCTTTTGACTTTCAACAGAACTCTTTCAGATAAAAGAAACATTAAACTGAAACTATTAATAGCATGAAAGATATACACAGAGACAAAATGAAGTGTGTGTAAAAACAGGATACTAATATCAAATTCTAGGTTTTACTCAAACTGTACATTCGTTCATTTCCCCCAAATTCTTGCATAAGCTTTTATGCCTTAAAATCTTTTTTATATTTTTTTTTCTGGACTTTGTTGCCTTTTGTATTCTAGCTCCTACCTTCATTTCTTTTTGTCTAAAATGCCTTAAAGCAAATGACAATCTTGCTGCCGCAGGGATTCCTGAATGTCTTGGGGCCGGGCCACTAAAAGCAGTGATTTATGCAACTTACATTGTGTTCCTAAATTATTGCAATTTACTAACCTGGCATTTTTGTTAACCTGAGCTGTTTTGGGGTTTTATTCAAGCATTTAATGCCGCTACAGAACTACTTGACCATTGATGATGGGAGTTCTGCTATCTAATAGTTAATTTCCATGACTTCTATTCCCTTTCCGTGTCTAAAAGCAGAGAGCATGATATAATCTTGGTGACAGGGAAATCTAACATTTAGTGAAAGGAAGAGAACATCAACTCAATATGTACTTGAGATGCTACTTTGGGAATAAGGTGCCTTGTCCCATGGGGGAGAGTTTACTAGTATCCAGGTAATTAAAAGTCTACAGAAGTGGCCTTTTATCTAAAACAAAATCATTCTGTACTCATCAACATCTATAAGCAAAGAGCAATTCTATAAACTAGCAAGCATCGTGGTGTAAAAGGGAGGAGGATGGCCCCATTTATTTGATAGAACACACACCATTAATATTGACTCATGTCACCTGATACGGAGAACTTTTTATTTCTATTACATGACTGAGCCATGCCAAACTTCTGTCACTTTTTTTTAAAAATATAAACCCCTTTTATTTATTTAATTTATTTATTTATTTCAGTATTTTACAGAAAATACAGTTATGCAGTTATTGCCAAATGCTTGAATTATGTCAGTACCATTTCTCGTTTCACATATTTGTTCAGTTCATCTATCAAAATTACAGGGTCAGGGAATCACAATAACTTACATGGGCAGCCCAACAATTCTGTGGATCCCAATTTTCTGTTTTTGTTTTCTAGGAACCAGAAGATGAAGTGTTTCTTGCCATAGCTAAAGCCATGGAGGAAGTGGTGGAGGATAATATCGACTGCTACTGGCTTGTCAGTAGTTTTGTGAATCAGTTAAACAACAAATACAAAGATTCGTTACCACAGCTGGTAAGTATTGTTTGTGAAAAGAGACTGAGTGGAGTGGGGGGAGATGTGACTTGGTATGCACTGAACATCTTGGGAGCTACGTCTAGGAGCTAGCAAGGGACTGGATGTCAGTAGGCCTGGTTCTGTTCTGCCACTAGCTACTATAAAATAATAATATAGGCCTCCAGTTGTGCTTTGTAAATTCCCTGATAGAAACTTTGTGGTGTAAGAAATTGGTCTTGTTTGCTAAAACATGTTTCAATTGCATTTTGAATTTTTAGACTTTTAAGTTAAACAAACATGTACAGGTTTGAGCACAGATAGGATTTAGCTTTTGTATCTGTAACCCGCTGCTGTGGATATCCAGAGCTGTGAGCCACTGGGTTACCCTCTGCCTCAGCAAGCGTGAGTTTTGCTGGCGACTAGACTGTGTCTCAGCTCTCTGCCACACCAGCCCAGTCTTCCTCATCAGCTAGGTCCTCAAGGCTCTCCTGGCCCAGACCTTGCCTAGCAGGTAACAGTCACCCCTGAGCTCCTCAGAGATGGTTTCTCTGCAATGCACAGCCCTTACCACTCTGCATTCACAGAAGATACTAAGTTTGCCACTCTGTTAAAAGAGTCAGTACATCACAGGTTTATTAATCTAACTGAAGTAAATACACCCATCTTTTCAAACAGCACTGAGTTGGTTTATAGTAAAAGTAAAACAAGTTTATTAATAGAAAAACATGGATTAAGTGATACCATGTAAAAGAGATAAAGGAAGAAATGGTTACAAGCAAATACAAGTGAAAACACACATCAAAAAGTCTAAAATTTAATCTAGCAAGATATAGTCTTTGTTCAAGATGGTTTCTCTCACACCGAGTTTCCTTGACAGCTTTTTACTGGTTGGCTTGGCCAAGACCTATCACAGAGATCAAATTGCTTGGTTTCTTTGTCTCCTTAAGGTGAAGGAGCCCTATAGTATCTTTCTGTTCCTTATATCCCCAAAGAGATGTCTTTGTCTTACAGATCAGAAAGACCTCCTGGGTATTCAGTCTCCTGTATCTCTCTGCGGTGCAGGAGTCAGTTAATTCTCTGTCCCTTGAGTTCAGGCTCAAGAGAACCCCCACTGGCTTAGCTTAATAGCTTTGTTTTTGGCTAATGTGTAAATCGAGGTAAACCCACATTCCTCGGTCTAAGATAGACCTGTTTATTACCTTTACCTAGGCTAAACTGTCTTTGCCTTAAGGATGGTCTACATTTAAAACGCTACAGTGGCACAGCTGCAGCACTTTAGTGTAGACACTACCTACACTGATGGGAGGGGTTCTCCCGTTGTCATAGGTAATCCACTTCCCCGAGAGGCGGTAGCTATGTTGATGGAACCATGTTGCTCAGTGGTGTGGATTTTTCATACCTCTGACGGACCTAATTAAACTGACCTAGTTTTCTAGTGTAGACCGGTTCTTAAATATGTTCTAGTACAGTAACTCCTCACTTAACATCCTCCCGCTTAACGTTGTTTTGAAGTTCCATCACTGCTCCATTAGGGAACATGCTCGTTTAAAGTTGTGCAATGCTCCCTTATAACGTTGTTTGGCTGCCTGCTCTGTCCACTGCTTGTAGGATTCTGTGGAAGAGCAGCGACTTTACAAGAGAGCATTGCACAAGTTCCTCTTTTCCGCCTCCTCTTCCTCCCTCCCAGTGCTTCAGCTTAGGACTTTCTGGGAAGGAGGGAGGGAGTGGGGAAGTGCCGTGTCTCCGCTCCTCCCTCTCCCTCCCAGAAAGTCGTAAGCACCGCCAAACAGCTGTTTGGTGGCAGGGAAGCACTGGCAGGAAGGGGGAGGAGCGGGGACGCAGTGTGCTCCAGGGAGGAGTTGGAGTGGGGGTGGGAAGAGGTGGGCCTGGAGTGGAGCGGGGACGGGAAGAGGTGGGCCTGGAGCATCTCCCGGCAAAGTCGGTGCCTGTTCTTCTGGGGGAAAGCTGCCACTGCTGCTGCACAAAGTGCTTCCTAGCTATGGGCTATGCCCGTGTAGGGTAAGCCAGGGGCACTTCCCAACCACAGTACAGTACTATACGGTACAGTATATAATGCCTTTTGTCTGCCCCAAAAAAATTTCCTTGGAACCTAACCCCTGCATTTACATTAAATCTTATGGGAAAATTGGATTGGTTTCACGTCATTTCACTTTAAGTTGCATTTTTCAGGAACATAACTACAATAAGTGAGGAGTTACTGTAATGTTATACAGAGGGAATTCATTACTTTACATATAAGGTTAACACATGTATTTTATAATAAATTAGTAATCAACATGTTTTTAGCTTTCATATGATACCTCATAAGGCATATTTTGTACAAATATTATTGCAGTGGTGTGTAGGGTGTAAATACAGGGATGCCTAGGGTCACAGTATCCAAGCTCAACTGGAATTCCTACAACTGCAGTCACTTTTTAAAAATTATTTTGATTTTAAACAAAATCTGTCACAAGCCTAATTACACCGACAATTCTGTACTTTGCATCAGACCACCTGTAGAGCTGTTTAAATTGTTCTGTCTACTACTGCGTATCACATATTCTTCATTAGCCGATATTCAGGCAACAGGTGCTGGTGCTGGTTTTGAACTGAGAACAGGTTTTGTTGTTTTAGGAAAACAATACATTTTGAATCAAATTGCAATAAAATGTCAGTTTAGTAGGTTGAGTTCTTTTGTTAGTGGACATTTAAAGCAGGTAATGTTGAGTTTCTGCAGAATTTCTTTGTTAAAGGCAACTCGAAGAAATTTTTTTTTAGGTTTACTAGTATTTATAAGAAATCTATTGCTTTATCTAGACCTTTCAAATAACATTACAGTAAGAAACCTGTTCATAAACCGTGTCCACTCATGTAAATACATACCTGGGGGCCTGATCCTGCACAATTGAAGTCAATGAGTGGAAGCTCAAATCCTTAATGTAGATACACGTTCCTGTTATAAAATAGTTGTTTTGTAAACCCGCCATCTGTTACTGGAGTTAATACACTCAACTACATCAATTGCCATAATTATTAGTGTTTGCATGCCTGAAGGGGTGTTTTCACAAGTGTTCTCATTAGCAAGAGAGGGGGCTATAGATCCTTCACTCCCAGATTTTTTTCAATCGTTTATGTATTCTATCAAAAATAGGAATTTTGGAATACAGCCACAGGAAAATCTTTTTGCCTTTGACAACTGTAAAATTAGTCATTTGTCCAGCTGTCAGAAAATAGTGAAACTTTTGTGTTTTTTATATAAAAAGATTGGAATTATAAATGCATAATGATGATTTTTAAATTCACTCTTTTTTTAAACCCCACCATTATATACCATTCTGCTGGTCTTTCTAAAAACACTTCTGACAGGCTTTTTTTAAACAGCAAACAATGCTTTTAATAAGTTGCATAGTGATTTGCTCTGAGACGTGATTTCTCCTGTTTTGCTGCATTGTGTGTTGGTTTTGTGATGTGCTCAAATGGAGCTAGGTTTGTGATGAACTAAACTCAGTTTTACTTGTGATGGTAGCAGCAATTGAAAGCTGGTCCCCAAATGGTGAAAGTTTAGTGCAGGTATAATCCTCTGCGCCACCTGAAATTCTGACTCCTTACTACACAAAGGAACAAATGCTACAGTATTTAGAAGCCCTCATAATGGTAGGTGATTTTTTTTAGGAGGGGGGAACCAGTTGGGTTAGCAAATATGCTATCAGCCAAATGCAGAGTTCAATAAACCTTGCCATAGGTGAATGTGACCTTGCAGTACATTATCTAATATTAATATTTTAGCATTTGCTTTTTACATGTGTTTAATTTTGAGACACTTGTCTTAAAGCGAGAATCAACTCTGAGTTCCATTTGATGTGAGGTATTTAAAACTTTGCTTCCCTGTTCTTTCTACAGCCAAAAGTTCTTGAACAGTATTTGAATGTTGAAGATAACAGACTCCTGGCGCATCTGAAGGCCTGCTCTGCAGTGAGCAAACTTCCTTACAATCTTTGGTTTAAGAAGTGTTTTGCAGGGTGTTTACCTGAATCCAGTTTACAGAGGCAAGTGTTCTCGTGTGTGTGTGTGTGTGTGTTTGTTTGTTTGTTTGTTTAGGAATTTCAGCTTTGTTTAGCTGCTAGTACAAGATAACTTCTCTTATTTCATCACCCAGAATATGAACTAGATTTGAGGAAAACTGATTTTAAAGTAGCACTGATTTAGAAATCATAACAAAATTTGATGTGACTCCACTTATTACAGATATAAGATCTTTTTAAAAGTGTGGATTTTTTTGGTATTTAAAAAAGTTGAGGTTAAAATGTAAGAATTTTGGCTGTGTGTGCTAACACCACTTAAAACCCCAAATCCCTATTTTGTGACATACAGCTAAAGGCACCTGAATTTTCAGATGTTTTAGTTGCAGTTACTGCTTCACTAAGTGAATGTTTACTCTTGATTATCATTGAATTTAAAAATATAGTGGGAGAGTTTGTTTAAAAATATAGCACTTGATATGTTAAGCATGACAAAGTCCATGAAAATAAAGCATACGCTGGGCTAGTCTACACTACACAGGCTTTGCCAATACAGCTGTGTTAGTATAGTTATACCAGCAGAGTCCCTAGTGGAGATGTTAGCTTGAAGGATCGGAGCCTGTTTATCACTGTAGTAGCTAAGTGTTTTTTAAAATACACCTCTACCCCGATACAACGCGACCCGATATAACACGAATTCGGATATAACGCGGTAAAGCAGTGCTCCAGGGGGGGTGGGGCTGAGCACTCCGGCGGATCAAAGCAAGTTTGATATAACGCGGTTTCACCTATAATGCGGTAAGATTTTTTGGCTCCCGAGGACAGCGTTATATCGGGGTAGAGATGTATTTACTTTAAAATGCATAAGTCAGTCATGGTAGGTGGCATTCTTGTTCTGTCAATGTCTCAGAAACAAAAGACAAACCTAAAAACATGAGCCAAACCTATTTATTTTAATACAATTGTTTCCTCTTCATTTCACTCTGAGAATTAATTCTTCTTCTTCGAGTGCTTGCTCATGCTTTTTCTATGTTAGGTGTGTCCGTGCCCAAGTGCACAGCTGCTGGAGATTTTTTCTGTAGTGGTATCTGTAGGGCCGGCTCTGGTGCCCACTGGAGCCTCGCGCTCAAGTGCTGGTATATGGAGTGCCACCAGCCACACACCCTCTCAGTCCCTTCTTACTGTCCATAACAGTTGCAGGAATGCTTCTTGTGATTGCAAGTTCCCTTGTGGTTTTCTTGGACTGTTTTAGACTTTTCTCTTGTAAATAGTTAAAATAGTTGTTTAGTTAGAGTCCTAACTGGGATATTGTCCCAGGGATGGGGCATGCTCCAGTCCCTGGGCTTTAAGCCACGTGCTGCCTGTCACAAACCTATGCCCATGAGTGACCCGCACATGAGCTGCCTTAAGTGCCTCGGTGAGGCATGTCAAAGAGAAGTGCAGGATCTGCAAGGGCTTCAGGCTGTGCCCCCTCAAGGACAGAGACATTTGGCAGAAAGCCCTATTGATGGAAGCCGCCCTCCGTCCAGCTTCAGAGCTGTCCCATTCTGATTTGGCACCGAGCACGCCTGCCTCGGTGTGGAGTGCTCCACTGATACCATGCCTTTCCCGGCACCGTACCCTTCACCTGTGCCCAAGAAGAGGCACAAAAATCAATGGGCTGACAAGGGACGCTCTCCAGTACCGCGGACAGTCAGGTGGCTAGGGACCTGATGTCTCTCCCAGTGACGCCAACACCTCGAGACCCAGGCCCGACTCTGGGGAATCCTTGAAGGTGGTTCCCTTGGGGGAGAAACCTTCTATGAGGCCACCTCATTGGCCTTCAACCCAGTGCCGATCACCGTCGCAGCAGCGGTTGCCAGCTCAACTACGGGCCGCAGCGCCGTTCGCCAGCTTCCTGGTCTCCATTCCCGCCCTCCCAGCACTGATCTCCAGCACTGTGTTGAGCATCTCTGGCACTGAGGCACTGACTTCGCACCACCGCTCCCCCGTGTGACACCGCTCTCTGGCTCACCGCCATAGCCATCAGCAAGTGGCAGCGAGGAGTCCTCCTTGGGGTCCAAACGCAGCTCTCCTCCGAGACAGCAACGACATCATTCTTACGGGCTGGATTTCACTGCAGGTCCGTCATTGGGGCCATGGCCATTGGTTCAGTGTCTGGCCCAGTGGCACTGTTGGAACCCCTGAAGGGGGTTCCCTCCCATGCTGGGACCATATTCCCAGCAGGCATCCTCGGTAGTTTCCGAAAGACGGAGCCTGGCTCTGATGTGACTGGCTCAACTCAGAACCGGATCCTGGTACTGAAACCCGGCGGTTCCGGCACAATCAGTACCGGCAGTGGATGGAGAGCCAGCCACACCAGCAGTGACAGCCGTCTCCTCGTCTTCCCCTGATGAGGCGGTTTTTGCTTCAATCTGTTTTAGACTACCTGCTCCGCCTCAAGCACCAAGGCCTGGCCATTTTGTCGATCATGGTGCACTTGGCAGCTATCTCAGCCTTCCACCCTCCAATCTAGGGCAGATGAGTCTTCTCCCATGAAATGACAATCAGGTTCCTGAAGGGGTTGGAGAGAGACTACCTCCAGATTCACAACCCAATCCCTCCATGGGACTTAAATCTGGTGCTGTCTTGGCCATGGGTCTTCCCCCCTGCCCCCCTTCAAGCTACTAGCCTCCTGCTCCCTGCTGCTGCTCTTGTGGAAGGTTGCTTTCTTGGTAGGGGTCACGTCAGCCTGGCGGGTCTCCGAGATAAGAGCACTAACATCAGAATTCCCTTACACGGTGTTCTATAAGGACAAGTTCCAGCTTCATCCCCACCTGGTGGTCTTACCAAAGATGTCATAGCTCCATTATAGTCAGGACATCTTCCTACCTGTCTTCTTCCCGAAGCCTGGCAAGACTAATGAGGAGCATCGGTTGCACTCTTTTGATGTTAGACGGGCCTTAGCCTTTTACATCAAGAGAACTAAACCCTTCCGTAAGCTGACTCAGCTTTTTGTCGCAGTGGCAGACAGGATGAAGAGCTGGCTGGTTTCCTCTCAGAGGATCTTGTCGTGGATAACTGCCTGCATCAAGTTCTACTATGAACAAGCAGGGCACAAACTGCCCATTCCGTCAGAACGCAGGCTTCTTCAGGAGAGTTCCTCGCACAAGTACCAATTCAAGATATCTGCAGAGCTGCTACCTGGTCTTCGGTCCATACCCTTGCATCCCATTACACCATCACCCAGCAGGCCCGGGACAATGCCAGCTTCGGCAGAGTGGTGTTGCAAGGCGGATGTCTGTAAACTCCGAGCCCACCTCCAGGGATACTGCTTGTGAGTCACCTAACGTGGAAATGACATGAGCAAGAAGAAAAAACAGTTACCTGTCTTTCATAACTGTTGTTCTTGGAGATGTGTTGCTCATGTCCATTCCATAAGCCGCCCCCCCCACCCCAGTGTCGGAGTTGGCAGCAAGAAGGAACTGAGAGGGTGCAGGGCTGGCGGCATCCCATATACCGACACATGAGCGCAGGGCTTCAGGGGGCACCAGACCTGGCCCTACGGATACCACGAAGGGAAAAATCTCCAGCAGCGTGCACGTGGGTGCATACACACCTAACATGGAAACGACATGAGCAACATTTCTTGAAGAGCAACAGTTACAAAAGGTAGGTAACCATTTTTTATGCTTAAATGTGTATTTATGCTGGATACAAGGAGATTATAGGTGCATACACCGCTATCTCGATATAACGCGACCCGATATAACACGAATTCGGATATAACGTGGTAAAGCAGTGCTCCGGGGGGGCGGGGCTGCGCACTCCGGTGAATCAAAGCAAGTTCAATATAACGCAGTTTCACCTATAACGCGGTAAGATTTTTTGGCTCCCGAGGACAGCGTTATATCGAGGTAGAGGTGTATTTGTACAGACTTCATAGTAATGAATGAAGTATTGCCAATTTTTGAAAAACAAAACAGTATTTCAGGACAGTTACTGAAAGTCCTGGTAATGAACTGAGATAAGGCAGAATAAGAATTTACTTGATGAGGAATCTAAGAAGTTGCCCTGAGAACCTTCTAGGATTTTATTCTTTTTACACAGACTTGTAATGTGTGCCTTGCTTACAGAAAAGTGTAGATGTGGAATAGTTCTTTGCATTCTTTGAAAGAACAACACACAGTAAATAAAACTTGATGTGCATAGGATTTTGCATGAAGCTTACTTTGTTTCAGCTTCATATTATTTAATTTTGTATTTTTTCCCCTTGTAATTGTCAGTATGTTTTTGTGCAGTGAAGGAACGGTAGGAGAGCCCTTCTGTGGCTAGTTTAACACCTATTACATTTCTAAGGATGTTAGTCTCACACAAAAAATCTCACCAACCCATTGTAACGAGTAGAACGTTTACTTTAACTTTCAGTGACAGTGAGTAGGACTTCTAGTACAGTTTAAATTTCTGTAGTCATTTCCCCATCAATGTAATAATAAATTAACTTTCACAAGTTTTCTGAAGCCATAAACCGTGAAAGTATGTCTGATCCTAAAAGTTAGGATAAGAACACTTGAACTAATAAAGATGTAAGGTGTAAAAACTATGTAAGAAAATACCTAATTACAAAAATAAATCAATAAATAAACTCAGTGGCCTTCTACGTTAGCCTTTTTTCTATCATTTTCTACTGCTGCAGCTCGGTTGGTGGTAGCACTAGCATAGACAAGGCACTGATAACTGCTAGTGTATTTATCATCATGTCATACACTCCCATTCCCATTATTGTTTTAAATTAATTGAGCTGCATGGACAGTAATAATAGCTGGAAGTTAAGGAGAGAGGGCAAGAGGAGACAGAGTTGGTTAGTGCTAACATTGGCCAGGTCTACACTACACACCTCTGGTATTATAACTACGTCTCTCGGGGTTTGAAAAATCCACACCCCTGAGCGATGTAGTTATACTGAATTTAACCCCCTATGTAATCCGCCTCTTGGGGAGGTGGATTAACTATGCTGATGGGAGAGCTCTCTCCTGTTGGTAGGAGCATCTTCACTTAAGTGCTAAATTGGTGCAGCTGTGCTGATGCAGCATTTTAAGTGTAGCTTTTTTGTCTCCACTCCTTTCCTTAAGTGTGTGTTATGTAAAGCCTCCGCTCAAATGCGATTGTAAGATCTGTAACTTGTATCATTAAGTTCTGCAAGCTTTTTGCAGACTTTGTAACTTCAGTGATTGTTAGCATAGCCTTTGAAGTTTTGTAACCTTTGCAAGCTCTGTAACCTTTTCAAGTTACCACTTGTTTGAACTTCCAAGCTTTGTAATATCCCATCCCTCAATCAGAGAGAGTGTGAACGAGGGAGTGTGTGGGGAAGATAAGGGAGTGTATGTGGGACTGGGTGGAGAGGAACTGCAAGGAGAAGAGAGCCCGTAGCCAAGTGTGCCTGATGTAAACTGCCCTGAGAAGGCAATCACGGAGTGCTGTAAAGTAAAGATGCATGAAAGGAACAGGGACTGGGAATGCTTCTCGGTGACGGACACAGAAGGAAAACTCAGTGTAGGTGACAGGAGCTGCCCAGTTCCAAAATAAAAGGAAGCAGCCAGGCACACAAGGTGCTGCTCCTTGACCTGCTCAGCAGCCTGGATTCGTGACCGCAGGCGGACACACCAGAACTGCCACGCTTCGGCTTCTCGGCCTCCAGGCTGTCTCCGGTAACTCTCCACCTGTGTAAGTGTGTGGGTGCATGAGGGAATGAATGCAGTGAATGTGTGCGTGTATGAATAAGCTCCACCTCTTTTCTATCTGACCTAACAGTGGCATCGTAATAAAACTAATACAAGTGTGACCCTGGGTTGGTTTTTAGGGGAACAGAGGTAACGTTAGACTGGGGATTAGTTAACTAATTGTAGTTGTTTTAATATGAGCATTTAAATGAAATGACTGAAATGCTTGTTTGGGAACAGGTTGAGTCTCAATGGATATGTTTCGGGATTTTTTAAAACCCATGCTGTTACCTTTCTGTAATGAATTCAGTCACCACACCAATTAAATCTGGCAGCAGAATCATGAAAGAAGGCTGGATGTGTCACAGCAGCTTAGTTTTAATACATGTTGGAAAGACTCTTGCCCTGCTCTCTTTAGGATTATAATTATTTGTGCAGTCACTACAAGTTATACTTCTAGTGTCTGGGAAGTAAACGTTGTCTGGGGCACTATCATTTGGCTTGTGCCTTTTCTTCTTGACTTGTGATGTATAAAGTAGGCCTGAGGATTTTATGGTTTTTTACACATTCACGTCCTGTGTAGATTTTACAATGATTGGAGAATGAGCACAAATGGTGACATCAAGAGCTATGATAATGAAGGTTGAAGAATTGAAAGAGGGAGGGATTATTTTTTTAATAAGGAGTCATGTAGTGAAACTACTTGCAGCCTTTGGAAATTTACCATTCAGGTTCCCGTCTAAAGTTGTCATCTGTAGCTTTATGCAGCATACTAGGGGGGTGGATGTGAGGAAGAGAGTGGGTTGGGAGGGTCAGTAGATGTTATCTGTGTATAATTATTATTTACAGAAACATAATTGGCGATACCATGTTGATATCAGTTACACTTCTCATACAATAAGCTGGAATATTTGGTCAAAGTAGGTATACTTGTTTAGTTAGCTTAGCACTTTATTCTGTCTGAACTTTTAGTTTCAGTTGGTTAACTATTTGACAAATGTCTTTATAGATATGCTAATTTTATTCCTTTTCTTGGCACCAGGAAAAAAATCTCATTGTCACTGATACTGTTGTGACAGTCATCCATGTGTAATAATTAAGCTTACCAGAACAAGATCTGCTTGTTAAATTTTAGCTTATAATCGTCTAACAATGCAGAACATCTGTATGTGTTTTATTTCTAATTGGGGTCTTTGTGTAAGGTTGGCAGCAATAGGCACTACTACTGTACTGCTCTGCCCTTAATCCATCATAGTTAGAGATTTAGTAGAAGTCATTAACTTGTAACGTTTGATTTCCTTACTTTGAATATAGATGGTACTGGTACAGGTACTGCATGTATAATTTAGTACATTGCTACATTCATGGAAATTATATGAAAAAGAGATTTGTTGCACTGAATAAAAGATTAGAACAGATTAGTATGGTTTGTTGACTTTGTTACTTACTATTTTAGGGTTTGGGACAAAGTTATTAGTGGATCCTGCAAGATTCTTGTTTTTGTTGCTCTGGAGATTTTATTAACCTTTAAAATGAAGATAATGGCCCTGACTAACGCAGAGAAGATCACACAGTTTCTGGAAAATGTAAGTACTCATCCTAGCTGTGCATTGTTTTTGGTGGTATAGCAAATATTTTCAGGTTTAAAAAAAAACAAAAAACTTTTTTTGTCCCTTGTTAATTCAGTTAGGATAAAAAGCATTGCAAAATGAGTTACGTGATATTACCTGCAATTCTGAGAACTGGGTAATACTCAATCTGCCTTATCTTCCTCAGTTTTAGTGACAGTTTGATTGTGGGTTTAATGTAGAAAAGCAATGTTCAGTTTTTGTATGTATTTTTATTTAGTGGTAATATTTTAAATTTTAAGTTTACCATAGTTCTAATAGCAGTTGCAGTCATTACAATGTTACTAACTTTTAGGAGGAAAGGAATCCATAAGGTGGCTGGTCTCAGGGTTTTAGCAATGGCTGATGTAGGCTTTTACCTTTAGAGGCCAAATTGATAACCACCTTCAGAAAAATCCATCGGGATTATGGGGAGAACCCACTGTCCTTTAAGTTTCCCCAAATTGTTCTGTTGAGGGTGATTTGGGCTCCTCTTCCTCCCCCACACTGAATGAGTGGAGCTTTCCAGGTATCCATGGAGGCAACAGGCTCTCTGCATGGACCATCAATGCCTCAGCACTGCCTTGAGCCATCTTGCTAGGACTTGTCGTATCCTGGCATTGGATCCCACTCATGTTCATGTGGTACTGAGAGATTTCTGTGGAAAAGTTAGTGTAGCTTCAAGCTGTGTTAATTTGTTGAAATTCCTCACAAGGTTGATGGCACAATGCTACCTGGCCCTGGCCTGCTCCCTCCCCAAAGAGTGCTCACTGTGGAGGTGACTGAAACACCGCCCTCCACCTCCATTTATGTGGAAACAATGAGATTGTTTCTCTGAGAGCTGGGTGCCAATCTGACTAGGCCTGAACACATGGGATCCATCCAAAGGCAGCTCCTACCTATGCCCAAAATAAATATTGATTAGGGGCAAGAAATGACAAGTTTGGAAAGTGAAATAAACAGAATGGAGAATAGAAATAAATATTACTTTGAGTGATTGGATATTTTGTTTGAGGCTCTTTGACTACCTTGTTAAATTTAACACAAACCTTTCTCCTGATCTTTTGTAGATTCCTCAAGATAACACTGATGCAATAGTGAGCAAAGCTATTGATTTGTGGCACAAACATTGTGGGACACCGGTACATTTGGTATGAGAACTTGCTGCAGTCCTCAAGGTTTGGAAGGACATACCTTCTGATTATCCTTCCCTAGATTAGTATCTGTAGACATTAAATTGTTTCACATTTTTGCTGTAAATATCACGCTGATTAATTTGTAAATTGTTGCAGTAAAAATAAAGACTGAGTTGTGCTGTGATGAGCAGTAATTTTGGTAATATAGTTGCAACATTCAAATGGGATAGTGCAGTGGCTCTCAACCTTTCCAGACTGCTGTATCCCTTTCAGGAGTCTGATTTGTCTTGTGAACCCCAAGTTTCACCTCACTTAAAAACTACTTGCTTACAAAATCAGATATAAAAATACAAAAGTGTCACAGCACACTATTACAAAAAATAGTGAAAAATTGCTTACTTTCCTCTTTTTGCCATATAATTGTAAAATAAATGGATTGGAATATAAATATTGTACTTGCATTCCGTGTATAGTATAGAGGGTAATATAAACAAATCATTGTATGAATTATTTTAGTTTGTACTGACTTCGCTAGTGCTTTTTATATAGCCTGTCGTAAAACTAGGCAAATATCTAGATGAGTAGATGTACCCCTGGGGTATGCATCTCCTTGGTTGAGGACCACTGGGCTAGGGTCCTCTGAATTGTAGCATTAACGTAAGTTGTTTAGCAAGGGAAGATCTAATACACAATGCAAGAACAGATTTGCATGCCTCTTTATGACACACTAAACTAGTTACATTTTGTGTCTATATAAGACAATTAAAGAAAGCTGTCCTTTGTGGTGTGTATATATACACACTAATAAAATGACAGCCTTTTAGTGCCGTGGAATTAAAAATGTTAAATCAAGTACTAAGGGAAAAAAACTTGTTACAGCATTGAATTACATATTAGTAGACAGTCTGAAACAAGTGATAGTGTTTTGAACACAGAAGGGAACAGGCTTTAAAATGTTAATGGTTATTAGGTAATACCTCAATTTATGGTTAAGAACAGTGGCAGCAGTGCATTAGACTATGGTAAATAAGCAGCTTGCTAAAAACTGTATAAAATTGTGAATTATTGTGTCTTGTTCTGGAATGCAGAAACAGATGGATTTTTTTTTTAAATGGCATTTATAAATATCTTAACAGAAGAAAGTGATTTAGCTACCACTGCCATCCCCAAGATCCTCCCTTATAATTCAGGTTAGACACTGAGACAGATCAGTAGCCATGATTGAAATGCTTTACCAAAATTGTGTTTGGTGGCTTTAATCTCTTCCAAGCCAACACCTTTCCCTACGGGTTCAATACAGTAGAGTGAGGAGCACCTCATCTCTCCTTCAAGCCAGTGGAAGTTGAAGATTGCCTCTTGAGAACCAGACTCTCACTGTATTGCAGGGTCAAGCTGTGTACAGGTTTGAGCAAGTGATGAACAGATCTCTCCTATCAGATGAGGTGGATTTAAAAAAAATTGAGTATTAAATAAGCCTGTTTAACATAGATTGTTTTTGCTGCCAAGTTTTAATGAAAGTCAGTGTGTAAGCACCCGGAACCAGAGTGAGAGTGCTAAATTAGCTTTTGATAGTAGTAGCCTCTTTTGCAGCTGTAGAGAATATTTTCTTCACTTCAGTTTATTCAACTAGTTCATCCAAACTGTTTGGAAGAAGAAAACAAGCTTTTCTGCTTTGTTCAGTTCCCAGTCTATTAGTAAACTAGGTGTGAAAATAGCTCTACTAGTTCTAAAATCTTGAAGGACATGGTAACCAAAAAAATTCAGTTCAATTCTCTAACTGTAAAGTAAAATATTTCCTTTGTGTAGAGCAGGGTGGGGGACTGTGGGGGAGGCACTGAAACAAATCATGGTCAACTTCAAATAGATTCAGTTGAGAAAAGGAAGAAAATTTGAAAGGGGGTTTGTTTCAGCTGTTTCAAACAAAAAAGGGTCAGTTATTTGCTCACTCTATTCCTTTAATCAATTTCAAATGCAAAACATGTTTTGCTAAAACTACTTTAGCTGCTGGATATTTTTATATAAAAGTTTTTAAAACAATTTAAAAGTGCAGTTTTTGTTGATTAACAATTTCCATCCAAATAGAGCTTGATACAAGTCACAAATAAATCATTCGGTGTTTAAGAATCTGAATTAATATGCTCTCTATATCCTCCTGGTTAGTAAAAAAGCATCAAATTTAGTGTAAATGCAAGTCATGATGTTAAGGGCTACCAGCCAACCAGGGGTGGGGGAAAAGGAAAAAAATCAACCTATCTTACATTAGTGTTTACTGCTTGGTGCTTCAAATAATCCATGTTGCTAAAAAGGGATTTTTGGAACAAGGGTGCAGCTCTGAATATAGAAAAAACTTTTCTTAAATACTTAAATGAAATTCAGACATGCTTTAACATTGGCCAGAGACAGCACATCCCCCTTTACTAAATCCCCAAAACCTTCAGCATAAAAAGAGGTGGTGACTTTCTCTTGTTACAACTAAGATCACTAAAGGGGAAAGAGGGGAAAAATTCTCTCTTCCTTTGTGCAGTTGGCACTTAGTACACACTCTTTCCCCCCCAGTGTTTGTATGGGTCTTTCCCTCAGCAACAGGGAAGAGCAAGTTACTAAAGTGTGATTATAAAACCATATACATAGTCAAGGGGTCTTGGGCAGGAGTCGTACCTAAAACTCTTCGGTTCATTAAAAAACATTTCAGGTGGGTGTTGCCCTACACTAATTTGCTTTTTTATTTTTAAAAAGATTCTAACTTGGTTCTTGATGCTGCAATAATGCAGTTGCAAAATTCAGGCCTTAGACTTTCACGGAGTGGTCAGTAGGGTGTGGGATCATCACAGATGGAATGCTTCCAACTCCCAAGGAGAGAGAGTTCTCCTGGTGCCCTGATCATTGTTCTGGGAGAGAGGCTCTTTTAGGCATAGATCTCTAACCAACCTACTGAAGCCTGAGACATTCCAGCTGGAGTCACGGAACAGAAAGACAACAGTAAAGAGTCTTTACCATTGCTTGCCTCTCATGGCTTGCTTACACCTTCATAACAAATAAATCCTTTATGTTTAAATTGAGTCCAGCAGCACTTCGAAGTATCTCAAGGGCAAAGTACTCCATGGAATGGGTGTAGACCTCCTTCTGTAAAAGGTCCATTGGGATGCACCTATTTAGAGCAATTCCTCTGAAATGGAGTTTTCAGTGAAAAGAAGACTGATTCAGCATTATAGTCTAATATTAAAAACAGTTAACTGCACAGCTCAGGGATGGCATAGAATAAATTTCTACATCTTTGGACTGCAGATTATATTTGGATTTTTTTTTTTAATTGAAAGTGTGTTCTGTGGTGACAAGGAATCAACAACTGGTAGACTGGGAAGAGGGGCTTGTTTAATCAGAAATGCCCACTAATGCAGACTGCTTTCAGGTTTGCAGGAGAATGTTCTTTAACTCACTACTTAACCAAATGCAAACAAAATGCCTTACTAGGTCAGGCAGGTCCCAAAGGGTGCTGTGAGGAGCAATACAAACAAACAGTTTTGAGCTTCTCTTGTTAACAATAGCAATTTTATGTAAACATTGTAATAAACACTGAATGAATCTTCACATGCTTTTGGGATTCCATTCCAACACCACGGTTTAAAAGGTCGGCCAAAAAAATAATTTGCAATCTTAGCCACATCTAGTAAGAGGGAGCAGAACTATTTCTTTTCACTAAGTGTATTATTCATGCTCTGGCAGGCTCATTAGTTGATCTTTCTTCAGGCAGGATTGGGCCTAGTTCTGCCAGAAAACAAGTTGATTCAGCTCCATGCACCTTTCCCCACCATCTGGTTATGAGAGGTTAGTTTATTTTAGAACTGGACTGAAAATTTCAACCCGGGGATTTCATTCAGTCCATTGGTGAGGTATATTAGGGTTACCATATTTCAACAATCAAAAAAGAGGATGGTGGAAGCCCTGCCCCTCCTGCTTCCTGCCCTCTGACTGCCCCCCTCAGAACCTCCAAACCCCCCCTGCTCCTTGTCCCCTGGCTGCCCCCTCCTGGGACCCCTGCCCCTAACTGCCCCCCAGGACCCCACCCCTACCTAAGCCTCCCTGTTCCCTAAGCTCTGTGTTATGGAGCTATTAGTTAGTGATTCCACAGTTAAAGTGTTGAGCTTTTCATTTCAACTGTTTTTTCACACATGAATGAGTGAGTTTTGTCATACTGAGTCTTGATACCTATTAAATGATTTATATATATATATATAGAGAGAGAGAGAGAGAGAACATGCAATTAGTTACTGTGACAAGTGTGTGTTCACTTTATAAAGTTTCACTGCTACTGCACCTCAGCTCTCTGGGTTAGTTACACAACTCTGCACACCCAAAGGTGACCTGTGTCCTACACTGGAAGGCTAATGTCAAATATTTGGTAATTAATCGTACCTCAAAGGAGTTATGTCCCGAGTCAGCCACTGGAGCTGATCATCTCTTTCCTGAGCTACTTGTCAGTGCCCTGTGTCACTGGCAGAGCTCAGCACTGAGCCAGGGAAGAAGACTGGAAGATAAAGGGGAGAGTTGAGATGAGAAGCACGTATGGCGACACGGGGGAGGATGAGTGGCAAGCAGGCTTGTCAGAGGCTGAGGGAGTTGAGCAGGGATGGGGTGAGAGAGCTGAGGGAAATCCCTGCTAATGGCTGGGCAGTTTGAGACTAGGGCTGTTTGGGGGCTTCACATAGGACAATGTGGTGAAGGCAGAAGGGCTGCATCAGAGAGCAGGGGGAGATTACCATTAGGGAGGCAAGGGACCATCTTTGCCCTGTCACACACAGCCATTCTTTCCCATTTCGGTTCACCCCTGCTGGAAATGCACTCTAGCCCAGCTGCACACATCCCTGGTGGGGTGTGTGTGTGTAAACACCCACAGGCATAGCTGGTGAGTCTATGGGTGCTCTGGGGCTCAAGCGCCCGTGGGAAAAAAATAGCGGGTGCTCAGCACCCACCAGTCCTAGCTTGCTGGCGGGGTGCTCAGGGGAGGGAAGAGAACAGCATGCTGCGGGAGGGGGCCTTGCAGAAGGGGGGCGGAGCAGGGATGGGAGGAGGCAAAGCGAAGGTGGGGCCTTGGGGGCAGAGCAGGGGTGGCACATGCACCAGGAAAAATAAAGGTCAGTGCCTGTGCCCACAGGTGTGCGTCATCAAATTGGGATATTCAGCCAC